GAAATCCCACCCAATTTCTTCCAATAAAGACATTCAGAAAGAAGGGATGACCAGTTAGTTGCTGTAGGACATTATTAGCTATGAACAATCTTAAATTCTTCCAGAGATACAGAGGGGAGATGAAAAAAGGGGGGAACAGCTGCCCAGTGCCCCATAGGATCTATGGAGCTGCATAATGCTGCCGTGAGGTAGCAGTAAGGTCAGGAATGTGGCTGGGATAGCTGGAGCAGCCTAGGAGCCAGATAGGGGAAACAAACAAGACTTAGCAGAGAAAGGAGTTCTTGACAACACTGAAATGAGATGTTCAAGACTTGTTCTTGGCAGTCCAAGCGCACATCAGCCGGTAAGGGCACGGGAATAATTCTGGTAAGCGAATCCCTCTCCAGCACTAGTAATGAAGGCCTGTGACCCAGTGCAAACAGAGAATCTGGAACTGACTAATGACACAGAGAACAGCCTGGAACACAATGTAAAGCACCATGGAAAAGACAGAAAGTGTGAAACTATGTTACCAACATTAATCCTTCTAAGGGAGTTATTGCTAAATTTAAAAGAAAAAAAAGTGTGGCTAGTGGAGACTGTTTCTCCCTTTTCTAACATTTGACAGAAGTCTTAATTCCAGCACCACTGTTACCAATTACGTATCACAACAGTCAGAAATATACTATCTCTGTTGTAAAACTGACTTACAAAGCAGAAGATTTTTAGTTCGATTTTTTTTCCCCAAAGAGGACATTTCTGTATCTAAAACAGACCAAAACTTCTCTACCATCACTGATACACTTGACATCAAAAGACAGTTTTACTTTATTGATTTCACTTTATTAAAACAATGTTGCTGCTACATTCTGTCTTCAGTCATGGGGAAGCGACAGAAAAACCTGAGCAGTGGGGAAATCCAGTACCTGTATTTAATAAGTGAGGCTTCTGTTGTAGACACGAATCCAGGAAGAAGTAAAGAATCACAAAGGGGAAATAGATCAGTTGGAATTATTACAGTGAATAATTGCAAGTATGACAATTGTGAAGAAAAGGTGAAATGAAGGGAAACATAATTTTATCCTCAAAATTATTTTAAGTAATTTCTTTTACTAACCTAATAGTTTGCCTATTATATGCATGTTTAGACTGTAAATTTTAACTCTGAATTAACCTTCTTGTTTTCCGTTCTTTTGTTATTTGTCTTTTCAAACATCACCTTCCTCCAGAAGTCTACCTTCTTTTTTTTTCAACTTTCTGGCTTTCTTTTAGGTTTATCTGTAAGTATTCTTCATTTAGGTTATAAGATGGCCAGTCAACCAAACCTTCCCCATTAGGATTTCTGTAAACAACAAGAAAGAAAGAGTGAATGCCCTTTTCAGTCGCAAGGGAATTAAATCACAGCAGTTAAGACTGAATCAATAAAACAGCTAATTCACTTTGGAGTCAGTACAAACCAGTAATATGTGTAATGAGTCTCATGATTCTTACCCATTTCGAGCAAAGTCAGCCCAGTACTTCATTAGAGTTCTACTAAGGTTCTTTTCTTCCTCTGTAACTTCACCCGAGAGACAAAATACAAAATAATTATTACATGTGGCAGAAATCAAAACATTGCTACTACAGAAGCAGCATTTCAGTCTGTGAATATGTTGTAATAACTTACTGATTACAACAGAGGCACCATACCTGCAATATGTTAGTAATACAGCAATCATCAAGAGAAGATTTCAGCACTCTTTATGAATGAGATTAGCATAATTATCCTTATTCTACAATTTGGGGAATTAGGGTACAAGGAAATAAGGTGATGTCGTGGTTTAACCTCAGTTGGCAACTGAGCACCACGCAGCCGCTCGCTCACTCCCTGAGCAGGGCTCCATCATGCGTAATGGTTACTTGGGAAGACAAACGCCATCACTCCAAATGTCCCCCTCTTCCTTCTTCTTCCCCCAGCTTTATATACTGAGCATGACGTCCCATGGTATGGAATGTCCCTTTGGCCAGTTGGGGTCAGCTGTCCTGGCTGTGCCCCCTCCCAGCTCCTTGTGCACCTCCAGCCTTCTCAGTCGGTAGAGCATGGGAAGCTGAAAAGTCCTTGACTAGTGTAAGCACTGCTTAGCAACAACTAAAACATCGGTGTGTTATCAACATTATTCTTCATCCTAAACCAAAACACAGCACTGTACCAGCTACTAGGAAGGAAATTAACTCTATCCCTGCCGAAACCAGGACAGGTGATTTGCCTGTAGCTTTTCAGGAAACCAGAAGCAGAACCAAAAAAAGAACCCATGTCTCCTGAGTCCCATTACAACAGGAATGGGACACGTGTTTCAGTTTCATAGATCTCATTCTAGCTTTGTGGGACTGAAATTCTCCCTATTATTCAGAGCATGACTAGGCAAAGATTTCTTCATTCTGATACAAGACGATATCATTCCATGCCTCAACACTTCAAGAATATTCATTTAAATATAGTTACACATATGCCCCCTGTATCAGGTAGGTGAAAATACTTTTTGTTACCGTGTGTTATTAATTATAAATGCATCTCAATACATCAAGAAAAATATTCGCTATTTTAATGCTCTCAGTAAATCCAGGCAAATAGAAAAAGAACTGTATAGTGTTTTCTAGTGTAGGATAACATAACTAAAAAAAAAAAAAAAAACCCAAGAAAAACCAAAAGGCTCTAGTAACAGATTAACGAATGCTTTTACAACACAGCTGAATTGCTCCGAAGTTCAATGGAGTAAAAGGAAATACTTTCATTTACGTAGGCTTTGAAACAGACTATGAACTACTGTGCAAATGACAAAAATAAAAGCATAAAAAATGGTGAATTCACTTAAAATAAGTAGAATTTCTGCATTTCTTTGTCAAAATAAGAACTGCTCCTAATTTGTTTCATGGGAAAGAAAATCCTCCATCCTGAGTATTATTGTTTTAGGCATATGCAATTAAAGCAACTTGCTGGATTCATAATATTCCTGAGGATGTGGCATCTTGTACCTAACTGTTCAATGATTGGCACATTCATTTGGACTGTAGCAACACGGGATTCTGCCTGAAGGAACCAGAACTTCCAGAATCCTATGGGAGTGCCCAAACTGACAAGGCAAAGGCAATTTTGGCAGTATACCCTTAATGCTTCCTCAATGGACCGGTTCCATTTTGAATAAAATGCTTAAATATTGAGTCATGGGAGAAAATAGTCTTTAACCTAACCATTAGATCTTCACACAGAAAATGAAACACTGGAGTTCCAAGCCTTGCTCTAATCAACACAACTGGAATACTATCTGCAAAAGAGACTGAGTCCCCCATTCTCTGGAGCCTGACAGCCCATGGGATTTCCTGGAATGGAGGAGACATTAGCTTAAATTCCTCAGGAAAAGAAGAGAGCCTAGATTTCCTGCTTCCCAAGTACTCCACTAATCCCCCGCAAGTTTAATTGACCTTTCCTTCAATTTATTTTTCAGCCAAAGCTATTTGGCAAATTCATGAACAGTGCTGGTATAATGACAGTGATGTTTTCTAGCAAATGCCCTATTTGCTAAATTGTTGACAACATGAGTAACTTACTGTGCTTCACAAACAGCAATCTGTACGTGACAAAGAATGGAGAAGACAGTAAATTAGTGTTAAACAAATTCTAACACGTTGCGGGACAACCAGGGGATCAGGCCCAGCCAGCACGGGTCCATGAAAGGCAGGTCCTGCTTGACCAACCTGATCTCCTTCTATGACCAGGTGACCCGCCTAGTGGATGAGGGAAAGGCTGTGGATGTGGTCTACCTGGACTGCAGTAAGGCCTTTGACACCGTTTCCCACAGCATTCTCCTAGAGAAGCTGGCGGCTCATGGCTTAGACAGGTGGACTCTGTGCTGGGTCAAAAACTGGCTGGATGGCCGGGCCCAGAGAGTTGTGGTGAATGGAGTTCAATCCAGTTGGTGGCCAGTCATGAGCGGTGTTCCCCAGGGTTCAGTTTTGGGGCCGGTCTTGTTCAAGATCTTTATCAATGATCTGGATGAGGGGATCGAGTGCACCCTCAGTAAGTTTGCAGACGACACCAAGTTGGGCGGGAGTGTTGATCTGCTCGAGGGTAGGAAGGCTCTGCAGAGGGACCTGGACAGGCTGGATCGATGGGCCGAGGCCAACTGTATGAGATTCAACAAGGCCAAGTGCC